TGGCTGGCCAGCTTCAGTAATGCTTCCCTGGTGACTGGCCAGCTTCAGTAATGCCTCCCTGGTGGCTGGCCAGCTTCAGTAATGCCTCCCTGGTGGCTGGCCAGCTTCAGTAATGCCTCCCTGGTGGCTGGCCAGCTTCAGTAATGCTTCCCTGGTGACTGGCCAGCTTCAGTAATGCCTCCCTGGTGGCTGGCCAGCTTCAGTAATGCCTCCCTGGTGGCTGGCCAGCTTCAGTAATGCCACCCTGGTGGCTGGCCAGCTTCAGTAATGCCTCCCTGGTGGCTGGTCAGCTTCAGTAATGCCTCCCTGGTGGCTGGCCAGCTTCAGTAATGCTTCCTTGGTGACTGGCCAGCTTCAGTAATGCCTCCCTGGTGGCTGGCCAGCTTCAGTAATGCCTCCCTGGTGGCTGGCCAGCTTCAGTAATGCCACCCTGGTGGCTGGCCAGCTTCAGTAATGCCTCCCTGGTGGCTGGTCAGCTTCAGTAATGCTTCCCTGGTGACTGGCCAGCTTCAGTAATGCTTCCCTGGTGACTGGCCAGCTTCAGTAATGCCTCCCTGGTGACTGGCCAGCTTCAGTAATGCCTCCCTGGTGGCTGGCCAGCTTCAGTAATGCCTCCCTGGTGGCTGGTCAGCTTCAGTAATGCCACCCTGGTGGCTGGCCAGCTTCAGTAATGCCTCCCTGGTGGCTGGCCAGCTTCAGTAATGCCTCCCTGGTGGCTGGCCAGCTTCAGTAATGCCACCCTGGTGGCTGGCCAGCTTCAGTAATCCCTCCCTGGTGACTGGCCAGCTTCAGTAATCCCTCCCTGGTTGGTGGCCAACTTCAGTAAAGTACTCGGTATACACTGGAGATGAATACTCCTCATGACATATATACACTGTAACTCCTGGACAATCATCAGAACTAAAGTATACTTACAAGTTGGTAAGAATTGTTTGGCCTTAATAACCCTGCAGAGTGGACCGCTCGGCCCGGGCGTTGATCAGAGTGGACCGCTCGGCCCGGGCGTTGATCAGAGTGGACCGCTCGGCCCGGGCGTTGATCAGAGTGGACCGCTCGGCCCGGGCGTTGATCAGAGTGGACCACTCGGCCCGGGCGTTGATCAGAGTGGACCGCTCGGCCCGGGCGTTGATCAGAGTGGACCGCTCGGCCCGGGCGTTGATCAGAGTGGATCGCTCGGCCCGGGCGTTGATCAGAGTGGACCGCTCGGCCCGGGCGTTGATCAGAGTGGACCGCTCGGCCCGGGCGTTGATCAGAGTGGACCGGCCGGCCCGGGCATTGATCAGAGTGGACCGCTCGGCCCGGGCGTTGATCAGAGTGGACCGCTCGGCCCGGGCGTTGATCAGAGTGGACCGCTCGGCCCGGGCATTGATCAGAGTGGACCGCTCGGCCCGGGCGTTGATCAGAGTGGACCGCTCGGCCCGGGCGTTGATCAGAGCGGACCGCTCGGCCCGGGCGTTGATCAGAGTGGACCGCTCGGCCCGGGCGTTGATCAGAGTGTACCGCTCGACCCGGGCGTTGATCAGAGTGGACCGCTCGGCCCAGGCGTTGATCAGAGCGGACCGCTCGGCCCGGGCGTTGATCAGAGTGGACCGCTCGGCCCGGACGCTGATCTCTTAGACTAATACAAGTGGATAATCTTGGGTAAGGGAGGAGGTAACTGGAGACTTGTATAACGGCCTCGTTAATCTTAAGGTAACGAGGAGGTAATGTGCAGGTTATGGGGGAAGAGCTCGGGCACCTGCACCTGTTTCTCCATTGTTCTGGGTTTTTGTTTCAGTTTGAAAATTGTAACAATTGTGTTATAAATTGTTACAATGGAAATTTTTCAACAAAATTGTGACATGTTGTTCTTGACTTGTAGATGATAAAGCTACAAGTATTCACAATAGGCTGCTTGATCACAGTAGATGCTTGTCAGGGAACATTAACCATTACATAGTTACAGACGACGGTAGTTTCCGAAGATGAATTTCATTTGTTCCTAAATGTTAATATTTCACTTTGAATCAAAATTCTAATTTTGTAAAAACGATTAATGAAGAAAATATATTTTACTGTGATCAATGATTTAACCTTGTTTGAGATCTACTGCAGCCGAAACTTTATTGACGACGTTTGTCTGAAGAAAATGAGAGCGAATCATAACAATTCTGAACCTACTTTGGAGCACAAAAATATATTTTATATATAAGGAAGCCTGAGTACAACTCATGTTTAAAATCAAATAATTTTTGTATGAAATCAGAAGGTGAACCTTAATAACCGGGGGAGGGCGTAGTTCCGCCTGCCTGAGCGACGTCAACTATTGTTACATTATGCCACTTTAGGGAAATCTTGATTGGAATTAGGTTCGAAATTACCAGCAAACAGCTCTTATCAATACTTTACACCAAACGAGCGATGAATTAACACAGCAGTGTGTTTGAAATATATTGGTGGTGTTCGTCCTGTTCTGTATATATGGTCACACCTTGTGTTCATATTGGTGGTGTTCGTCCTGTTCTGTATATATGTTCACACCTTGTGTTCATATTGGTGGTGTTCGTCCTGTTCTGTATATATGGTCACACCTTGTGTTCATATTGGTGGTGTTCGTCCTGTTCTGTATATATGGTCACACCTTGTGTTCATATTGGTGGTGTTCGTCCTGTTCTGTATATATGTTCACACCTTGTGTTCATATTGGTGGTGTTCGTCCTGTTCTGTATATATGTTCACACCTTGTGTTCATATTGGTGGTGTTCGTCTTGTTCTGTATATATGGTCACACCTTGTGTTCATATTGGTGGTGTTCGTCCTGTTCTGTATATATGTTCACACCTTGTGTTCATAGTGGTGGTGTTCGTCCTGTTCTGTATATATGTTCACACCTTGTGTTCATATTGGTGGTGTTCGTCCTGTTCTGTATATATGGTCACACCTTGTGTTCATATTGGTGGTGTTCGTCCTGTTCTGTATATATGGTCACACCTTGTGTTCATATTGGTGGTGTTCGTCCTGTTCTGTATATATGTTCTCACCTTGTGTTCATATTGGTGGTGTTCGTCCTGTTCTGTATATATGGTCACACCTTGTGTTCATATTGGTGGTGTTCGTCCTGTTCTGTATATATATGTTCACACCTTGTTTTCATATTGGTGGTGTTCGTCCTGTTCTGTATATATGGTCACACCTTGTGTTCATATTGGTGGTGTTCGTCCTGTTCTGTATATATGGTCACACCTTGTGTTCATATTGGTGGTGTTCGTCCTGTTATGTATATATGTTCACACCTTGTGTTCATAGTGGTGGTGTTCGTCCTGTTCTTTATATATGTTCACACCATGTGTTCATATTGGTGGTGTTCGTCCTGTTCTGTATATATATGTTCACACCTTGTGTTCATATTGGTGGTGTTCGTCTTGTTCTGTATATATGGTCACACCTTGTGTTCATATTGGTGGTGTTCGTCCTGTTCTGTATATATGGTCACACCTTGTGTTCATATTGGTGGTGTTCGTCCTGTTCTTTATATATGTTCTCACCTTGTGTTCATATTGGTGGTGTTCGTTCTGTTCTGTATATATGTTCTCACCTTGTGTTCATATTGGTGGTGTTCGTCCTGTTCTGTATATATGTTCACACCTTGTGTTCATATTGGTGGTGTTCGTCCTGTTCTGTATATATGTTCACACCTTGTGTTCATATTGGTGGTGTTCGTCCTGTTCTGTATATATGTTCACACCTTGTGTTCATATTGGTGGTGTTCGTCCTGTTCTGTATATATGTTCACACCTTGTGTTCATATTGGTGGTGTTCGTCCTGTTCTGTATATATGTTCACACCTTGTGTTCATATTGGTGGTGTTCGTTCTGTTCTGTATATATGTTCTCACCTTGTGTTCATATTGGTGGTCTTCGTCCTGTTCTGTATATATGTTCACACCTTGTGTTCATATTGGTGGTGTTCGTCCTGTTCTGTATATATGTTCACACCTTGTGTTCATATTGGTGGTGTTCGTTCTGTTCTGTATATATGTTCACACCTTGTGTTCATATTGGTGGTGTTCGTCCTGTTCTGTATATATGTTCACACCTTGTGTTCATATTGGTGGTGTTCGTCCTGTTCTGTATATATATGTTCACACCTTGTGTTCATATTGGTGGTGTTCGTCCTGTTCTGTATATATGTTCACACCTTGTGTTCATATTGGTGGTGTTCGTTCTGTTCTGTATATATGTTCTCACCTTGTGTTCATATTGGTGGTGTTCGTCCTGTTCTGTATATATGTTCACACCTTGTGTTCATATTGGTGGTGTTCGTCCTGTTCTGTATATATGTTCACACCTTGTGTTCATATTGGTGGTGTTCGTCCTGTTCTGTATATATGTTCACACCTTGTGTTCATATTGGTGGTGTTCGTCCTGTTCTGTATATATATGTTCACACCTTGTGTTCATATTGGTGGTGTTCGTCCTGTTCTGTATATATGTTCACACCTTGTGTTCATATTGGTGGTGTTCGTTCTGTTCTGTATATATGTTCTCACCTTGTGTTCATATTGGTGGTGTTCGTCCTGTTCTGTATATATGTTCACACCTTGTGTTCATATTGGTGGTGTTCGTCCTGTTCTGTATATATGTTCACACCTTGTGTTCATATTGGTGGTGTTCGTCCATTTAAACACATATCCACACTCCCTTAATATATTGGTGATGTTCATATTATTCTACGAATATTCATTTATCAATCTGTGGTGTTCATTATGTCTTAAAGACTTGTCATTTGACGTGTTCATCATGTTATACACATACACTCTTTACACGCTAGTGGTGTTCTTCCCGTGGTATAGGAGATATTCTTCATATGTATCTCCTCTCTCACCTCTGGAAGGAATGCCTCTTCTCTCTCTCATACAGTGAAGGCAACGGTGATGTTGGTCTCACAGTGCTTACTGTGTTCTCCCACCTCTTGTAAGCTTCCCATTGGTCACCATTGTCAGTGTAACAGTGCTGAGGGCCCTAGTGTTCATGACACATGGTGTCCATGTGTACATCACACTTGGTGTCCATGTGTACATGACACTTGGTGTCCATGTGTACATGACACTTGGTGTCCATGTGTACATGACACTTGGTGTCCATGTGTACATGACACATGGTGTCCATGTGTACATGACACATGGTGTCCATGTGTACATGACACATGGTGTCCATGTGTACATGACACTTGGTGTCCATGTGTACATGACACTTGGTGTCCATGTGTACATGACACATGGTGTCCATGTGTACATCACCCTTGGTGTCCATGTGTACATGACACATGGTGTCCATGTGTACATGACACATGGTGTCCATGTGTACATGACACATGGTGTCCATGTGAATATGACACTTGGTGTCCATGTATACATGATACATGGCGTAGGACGTTGTCAACATATTCCTTTGACCTTACACTTGGCTCTCACTATTATGTATCTTGTCACACCCATGTATCTTGCCACACCTATGTATCTTGTCACACACCTATGTACCTATGTATCTTATCACACCCATGTATCATGTCACACCATGTATCTTGTCACACCCATGTATCTTGTCACACCCAAGTATCTTGTCACAAATATGTATCTTTTCACTCCTATGTATCTTATCACACCCATGTATCTTGTCGCACCCATGTATCATGTCACACCCATGTATCTTGTTACACCCATGTATCTTGTGACACCCATGTATCTTGTCACACCCATGTATTTTGTCACACCCATGTATCTTGTCACACCCATGTATCTTGTCACACCCATGTATCTTGTCACACCCATGTATCATGTCACACCCACTTATCTTGTCACACCCATGTTTCTTGTCACACCCATGTAGCTTGTCACACTCATGTATCATGTCACACCCATGTATCTTATCACAAATATGTATCTTGTCACACCCATGTATCTTGTCACAAATATGTATCTTTTCACTCATATGTATCTTGTCACACCTATGTATCTTGTTACACCCATGTATCTTGTCACACCCATGTATCTTGTCACACCCATGTATCTTGTCACACCCATGTATCTTGTCACACCCATGTATCTTGTCACACCCATGTATCTTGTCACACCCATGTATCTTGTCACACCCATGTATCTTGTCACACCCATGTATCTTGTCACACCCATGTATCTTGTCACACCCATGTATCTTGTCACACCCATGTATCTTGTCACACCCATGTATCTTGTGCACACCATGTATCTTGTCACACCCATGTATCTTGTCACACCCATGTATCTTGTCACTCCTATGTATCTTGTTACCATGTATCTTGTCACACCCATGTATCTTGTCACACCCATGTATCTTGTCACACCCATGTATCTTGTCACACCCATGTATCTTGTCACACCCATGTATCTTGTCACACCCATGTATCTTGTCACACATCTTGTCACAAATATGTATCTTCCTTTGTATCTTGTTACCCATGTATCTTGTCACACCCATGTATCTTGTCACACCTATGTATCTTGTTACACCCATGTATCTTGTCACACCCATGTATCTTGTCACACCCATGTATCTTGTCAGACCCATGTATCTTGTCACAAATATGTATCTTTTCACTCCTATGTATCTTGTTACACCCATGTATCTTGTCACACCCATGTATCTTGTCACACCTATGTATCTTGTATCTTGTCACACCCATGTATCTTGTCACACCCATGTATCTTGTCACACCCATGTATCTTGTCACACCCATGTATCTTGTCACACCCATGTATCTTGTCACAAATATGTATCTTGTTCACTCCATGTATCTTGTCACACCCATGTATCTTGTCACACCCATGTATCTTGTCACACCCATGTATCTTGTCACACCCATGTATCTTGTCACACCCATGTATCTTGTCACACCCATGTATCTTGTCACACCCATGTATCTTGTCACACCCATGTATCTTGTCACACCCATGTATCTTGTCACACCCATGTATCTTTTCACTCCTATGTATCTTGTTACACCCATGTATCTTGTCACACCCATGTATCTTGTCACACCCATGTATCTTGTCACACCCATGTATCTTGTCACACCCATGTATCTTGTCACACCCATGTATCTTGTCACACCCATGTATCTTGTCACATCCCACTGTATGTATCTTGTCACACCCATGTATCTTGTCACACACCCATGTATCTTGTCACACCCATGTATCTTGTCACACCCATGTATCTTGTTTTCACACCCATGTATCTTGTCACACCCATGTATCTTGTCACACCCATGTATCTTGTCACACCCATGTATCTTGTCACACCCATGTATCTTGTCACCCATGTATCTTGTCACACCCATGTATCTTGTCACAATCCTATGTATCTTGTCACTCCCATGTATCTTGTCACACCCATGTATCTTGTCACACCCATGTATCTTGTCACACCCATGTATCTTGTCACACCCATGTATCTTGTCACACCCATGTATCTTGTCACACCCATGTATCTTGTATCACACCCATGTATCTTGTCACACCCATGTATCTTGTCACACCCATGTATCTTGTCACACACCCATGTATCTTGTCACACCCATGTATCTTGTCACACCCATGTATCTTGTCACACCCATGTATCTTGTCACACACCCATGTATCTTGTCACACCCATGTATCTTGTCACACCCATGTATCTTGTCACACCCATGTATCTTTCACACCTATGTATCTTGTCACACCCATGTATCTTGTCACACCCATGTATCTTGTCACACCCATGTATCTTGTCACACCCATGTATCTTGTCACACCCATGTATCTTGTCACACCCATGTATCTTGTCACACCCATGTATCTTGTCACACCCATCTTGTTACACTGTGTATCTTGTCACACCCATGTATCTTGTCACACCCATGTATCTTGTCACACCATGTATCTTGTCACACCTATGTATCTTGTCACACCCATGTACCTATGTATCTTGTCACAATGTATCTTGTATGTATCTTTTCACTCCTATGTATCTTATCACACCCATGTATCATGTCACACCCATGTATCTTGTCACACCCATGTATCTTGTCACACCCACTATGTATCTTGTCACACCCTATGTATCTTGTCACATATATGTATCTTTTCACTCCTATGTATCTTATCACACCCATGTATCTTGTCACACCCATGTATCTTGTCACACCCATGTATCTTGTCACACCCATGTATCTTGTCACACCCATGTATCTTGTCACACCCATGTATCTTGTCACACCCATGTATCTTGTCACACCCATGTATCTTGTCACACCCATGTATCTTGTCACACCCATGTATCTTGTCACACACATGTATCTTGTCACACCCATGTATCTTGTCACACCCATGTATCTTGTCACACCCATGTATCTTGTCACACCTATGTATCTTGTCACACCCATGTATCTTGTCACACCCATGTATCTTGTCACACCCCATGTATCTTGTCACACCCATGTATCTTGTCACACCCATGTATCTTGTCACACCCATGTATCTTGTCACACCCATGTATCTTGTCACACCCATGTATCATGTCACACCCATGTATCTTGTCACACCCATGTATCTTGTCACACCCATGTATCTTGTCACACCCATGTATCTTGTCACACCCATGTATCTTGTCACACCCATGTATCTTGTCACACCCATGTATCTTGTCACACCCATGTATCTTGTCACACCCATGTATCTTGTCACACCCATGTATCTTGTCACACCCATGTATCTTGTCACACCCATGTATCTTGTCACACCCATGTATCTTGTCACAAATATGTATCTTGTCACACCCATGTATCTTGTTCACACCCATGTATCTTGTCACACCCATGTATCTTGTCACACCCATGTATCTTTTCTTTCATATGTATCTTGTCACACCTATGTATCTTGTCACACCCATGTATCTTGTCACACCCATGTATCTTGTCACACCCATGTATCTTGTCACACCCATGTATCTTGTCACACCCATGTATCTTGTCACAAATATGTGTCTTTTCACTCCTATGTATCCACACCCATGTATCTTGTCACACCCATGTATCTTGTCACACCCATGTATCTTGTTACACCCATGTATCTTGTCACACCCATGTATCTTGTCACACCCATGTATCTTTTCACAACCATGTATCTTGTCACACCCATGTATCTTGTTACACCCATGTATCTTGTCACACCCATGTATCTTGTCACACCCATGTATCTTGTCACACCCATGTATCTTGTCACACCCATGTATCTTGTCACACCCATGTATCTTGTCACACCCATGTATCTTGTCACAAATATGTATCTTGTCACTCCTATGTATCTTGTCACACCCATGTATCTTGTCACACCCATGTATCTTGTCACACCCATGTATCTTGTCACACCCATGTATCTTGTCACACCCATGTATCTTGTCACACCCATGTATCTTGTCACACCCATGTATCTTGTCACACCCATGTATCTTGTCACAAATATGTATCTTTTCACTCCTATGTATCTTGTTACACCCATGTATCTTGTCACACCCATGTATCTTGTCACACCCATGTATCTTGTCACACCCATGTATCTTGTCACACCCATGTATCTTGTCACACCCATGTATCTTGTCACACCCATGTATCTTGTCACACCTATGTATCTTGTCACACCCATGTATCTTGTCACACCCATGTATCTTGTCACACCCATGTATCTTGTCACACCCATGTATCTTGTCACACCCATGTATCTTGTCACACCCATGTATCTTGTCACACCCATGTATCTTGTCACACCCATGTATCTTGTCACACCCATGTATCTTGTCACACCCATGTATCTTGTCACACCCATGTATCTTGTCACACCCATGTATCTTTTCACACCCATGTATCATCTTGTCACACCCATGTATCTTGTCACACCCATGTATCTTGTCACACCCATGTATCATGTATCTTGTCACACATGTATCTTGTCACACCCATGTATCTTGTCACACCCATGTATCTTGTCACACCCATGTATCTTGTCACACCCATGTATCTTGTCACAAATATGTGTATGTCGTATCTTGTCACACCCATGTATCTTGTCACACCCATGTAGCTTGTCACATCATGTATTGTCACACCCAAGTACCCAAATATGTATCTTGTCACACCCATGTATCTTGTCACACCCATGTATCTTGTCACACCCATGTATCTTGTCACAAATATGTATCTTTTCACTCCTATGTATCTTGTTACACCCATGTATCTTGTCACACCCATGTATCTTGTCACACCTATGTATCTTGTTACACCCATGTATCTTGTCACACCCATGTATCTTGTCACACCCATGTATCTTGTCACACCCATGTATTTTGTCACAAATATATATCTTTTCACTCCT